ACAATTTCATTGTAAAAATACTTTTTTGCCACTTTAAGATTCAAACTGAGTTTGCAGGGAAGACTGCCTCATTAATCTGTTGGTTAAAAACAGTCCATTAACACAAAACATTAAAGAAAAATACAGAAAACTGTTAGAAGACTGTGCTGTGGTTATAAAATGATGAGTAAATACAGTAGAAAACTGAAAATGTAACTGATTTTCACCAAAAGCCTTCTCTGTGTTATGCTGAACATCTACAAGCTGAAATGTAACATCACTTTATTGCCTTGATGCCAAGACGTTGACCTTTCAGTCTTCAACAGGTGCAACCAAAGTATGTTATTACATTTTTAATAATTCATCTTAATCTGGGAATTTGTTTTAGGAATAGGAACTAGTGACGGTCTTCATTTCTCCCAAACCTTACAATCAGTGTTTGAGTGTGTTTTGGCAGCAGGATAAGAGAAGCCATGTAACAGATTTCCTATTGCACATATGTGACTTGACTTGCTCAGTAGTCCTATGACTGTACAAGAATTTGGCAAACAGGTTGTGCAACAGATATCATGGATGAGGAAGCGTTGACACAATTTAACTTTCTGATAACAACCTGTTAGAGTTTATGTCTGTTGAAAGACCTACTGCCACTATCTCCTGCCACCTTATCTGCCTCTCAGTGCAAACTGTACTTTGATGTACAGACTGCTGATGAGAAACTGTGTAAATGCAATGCTGATCTAAACCAGGACTGAGACACAGTTATTATTATATTAACCCAATAAAACTCTGCATAACAGTAAATGAAGGTTTCAGGAAGGTCAATAAGACTAACTTTATCAGCCTGTTTTGCTTATTTTGAATATCTTGTAGCTTAAATTCGCCTTCTTCTTCTTCTTTAATTGGGATTGCCTAATTTTTCAGGTCTGAAAAACATATCATTTTGTATCAAGGTTCCCAGAAAGAAAAATATTATTTGGTAATATGTTAACTGCGTAGAAAATGGAGGCAATATTAAATTGGTACACTTTTTGCTAAAGCTAGCAACGTGTGAATATGCAAAAGCATTTAATTTGTCAACAAGCAACACAACACTCAATAGAAATGAAGCAATGAGTCAAGCTACAGGCTAATTGCAACAGCAGTACAACCAGAGAAAAGTGAACTATAACATCAATGTTAAGTTTGGTTTCAAAAGAGGCTACTGGTCTTACAGGTCCAATCGACTGCAGCAGCATTCCTCAGAAAACTGAACAACAAAATTGAACATAAATACTGTACTTTACCTAATGCAGGCCAGACATTAGCCTCCTCCTTCTTTACATTTACTCAAGTACTGTACTTAAGTACCATTTTTGAGGTATCTGTACTTTACTGTAGTTGGCTGTTTTCATTTTCTACTACTTCATACTTTGACTTTACTACATTTCAGAGGCAAACATAACACTTTTTACTCCACTACATTAATTTGATAGCTTTAGTTAGTAGCTCAGCATCAGATTAATAATACAGCATACTGTAGCATTTGCTGGGTTAAGAAGGGTCAGGAGACCAGAGCTGGTCTTTTTCTCCTTTATTCACACACCAACAACACAGCACGCCTAACATGACACAGCACTGCTACAACAATCCCACCAACCCTGAACTATATACAGCCTGCCTAGAGGGGCATTATGGGGGATCCTTCCAGGTGCTTCTCCTCTTGGGTATTATGGGGGACCCCGCCAAGTGTCTCTCTGCCCCCAACACTGCACAGCCCCCGCCTGGCTGGTTAAGTGTCCTCAGTAACCACAGTCATAAGTGTCTCGCCATGCCCAGTGCTACAATAAACTATAAGAGATTATTGAGTTATGGTGGGAAATCTATAAGCTACACAGCAGTAGGTAAAGTCATTTAGATTATAAGCATATAAGGTAGATAACACTGGCTCCACCTCTACCACATTAAATGTGATACATGAATATTTATAATTAATAATATGATTTACATTAATGTCAAATGGGATATTAATAATTACTTTTACTTTTGGTACTTTAAGTATATTTTGATTCTAATACTTTTGCACTTTTACTTAAGTAACATTTTTATGCAGGACTTTTACTTGTAAAAGAGCATTTTTACACTATGTTATTGCTGCATTTACTTAAGTAAAGAAACGGAGTACTTCTTCCTCCACTGATAATAAATTATACAGTACTTTCAGAAAGATATTAGAAAATTATTAAGAACTATAACATACAGGTAAACTATTGTTTTAGGTATTGCATTTCCTATATGTGATTTTCTACAGCTAGGCTGTGTAGACTGGTGCTGTGTAGTACTGTGAAGTACTGTACTGCTTATTGTATTGTTTCCTTTTGTCTGTGTGTATGACTGTCAGAGCATCCTGAGATATCCTTTTATTTCGTTGTTACTTCCTACTTTTTTATAATTTTACTGAGATGTTTCTTGTATTTTCAGATAGTTTGCTAATTGTTTGAATGTGTGTAATGCAATGAAACGTTGTTGGTGACACGATATAGGCTCCTATAACTGGGCAGTGTACTTTATTACAAGCTACTGTAGCTCAGATGGGTTTGTTAGGTTGCAAACTTCAAAGGCTTATTTGGCGTGACAGGGACAAAGACTGACCAAACCTTTTGGTGTGAGGTGAGTTTATTTATTTGGAGGACTAAGTTAGATGACTCTTTAGCCTGAAAAAACAACATAACATTAGAAGAAATGTCTGGCTCTGCTGTGGTGGCGTTTTCCTGCTAGCAGATCACTACAGCTAACATCAGGACAGTAGCTGTTACCAGATAGTGACAGTGACAGGGTTATTTTTAGCTCTCACAACTGGGTAAAAGCCAGTGATTTAGCGTATGTCCTGTTACACAGCTTGCTCACAGTAAGTGATTGTAGTACAGTAAGTCAGCAAGTCCGAACTTTAAGTCCAAACTCCTGAGGATGGGAGGACACTGTACCCTCAACATGCAACCGGAACACTAGAATCTTTGCTGACTTTGCTCTGAACAAGATGTACAGTATCTGTGGCTACAATATAATATACAGCTGTAACACTGGCATCCTTGCCAACAGACTACTGTGCTCTGAAGCAGATGTGGCTGCCTGCTAACAGAGCTGGCTTGGTCAGTTAATGAGCACTCACACCTCTGAAAAGGTTGGAACAAATTCTAAATTGGCATTACTTGGATAGGCTAAGTGGTTACTTTCTGAAAAAATTTCAAACTCAATGCCCAAAGATTTGTCTCTGCATGTGTGAACCCTTTTAAGAATCATAGAATACTGAGCTAACTGAAAGGTCCAGGGCCTTAAAGCACAACTCAGTGAGGTCTTCAGGATGGTGATCCAAAATTACATATTGCAGTAGCAAACAACCTGGGCACTCAGTGGGAATTGCAGAGATGCCATTCACCTGATCACAAGTCAGTCTACCATCAAAATTATTCTGAAGTTGTTATTTTAATGTAAAAACATTACATAGCATTGCTTTAAATTTCAATAAAATAAATGTAGCAATGTGGTGGTCGATGTCTGATGTGAGTTAAATTAATTCACAGACAAATCACTAAAATGCAAATGATCATTTATTAGTACAATAATTCAAAAGGAAGTTCAATAATTTGAAAGGCAATTCAACAGCCTGAAAGATAAGGAACAGAATTACTGTCTCTGCAGAGAAATAAATAAAAGTATTAGATAAGAGGATTGTCAAAGAGTCAGTCAGTCATTTTTGGTCATACAGTCCAGTCAGTCCGTCACCCATTCATTCAGCCCTCTCCTGTCTTCCTTCTTTGCCAGCTCCTGTACCATCTAATCTCTCTTCCCTCTCTCTGATTCACTAGTTTTTTATTGTGTCCTCCTGACAGTGTCCATCCCCCCTTCTGTCATCTCTTGCTTTTCATGTCAATTCCCAAACCTAGTTAACAGATCATCTCCAGATCAGGCTGAGCCAGTGAATTAAACAAACAGGCCATGAACCCAAAATGTTCTTACTTGAGCACACACAAACAAATTAACAATTTACAGAGTGAGCTGACAGTATAGAGGGCTTGCAGAGATTAATTATTAATTGACTACTTCATATAGTAACTATATGACATATACACACTCTTACTGTATTCTATTATTATTACATATTTACCGTAGCTTGTTTGTTTGTTTTAACAATGCGATGGATTGGCGACCTGTCCAGGGTGTACCCCGCCTTTGTCCGATTGCTGGCGAGGATACATGACCATACTTCACAGAAGTCTTTATGGTCATACACTCGTTTATTGGAAATCTGTTGGTGATCTGAACACTGCAGCTAGGTCTGATCTCATACTACATCCCAACATCATGGAGGTTTTTTTTAACCAAAGTGAAACACAACAAACAAAACCATTTTATTAAAACTCACATTTATTTGTTTTCAAACTCACCATCTGGTTATAGGCTACTGACTGAACTGACTGACTAAAGAACCTTAACAACTGTCTTTGCTCATTGGAAATATTTTTCTAGAGCTAGCTTATTATTTCCCCCAGTTAATCTACATCATAGTCAGGAGGAGAGTTTGATGTCTTTCAATAATAAACATAATCATTTCCATTCAGTGTGTGGAAGTAAAATGAATGTGATATATTTATTTCACTTACATTTGCCTAAAACATTTGGGTTAATAATCCAAGTTGTATTTATAATGTTTGTTGATATGAGTTATGAGTTAACACAATATCAATAAATGCAGATGCAATAAACAAACGTGTTGCCATCCACAAAGCAGGTTAAAAACAGATACAATCGCCATATAACTGCATGGCAAATCATTGAGCCATCGAGCTCAGCGTGCACGCACGCCCGCTGAGTTCAGTGACTTGCCATATGTAGCCGGAGCTCTGTGCCCGTAGGGTCTGTGGTTATAATGAGTAACCGACATTCAACGTGGTTGGGTTCACTCCGGTTCAGAGGAAGGGGATAGACCGGCCCCCTGCAGGCCCGTCCTGTCCAATCACTCTGCTCTATGTGCGTGTTATGTAATTGGGCCGCCCGCATGTGGCTGAGGGGAGGAAACAAAAAGCGAGTTTGGCAATTCACTCTTTCTAGGAAGGTAGAGGACTAGTGTGTCTGCAGGCGAGGGTAAGGACAAATGGCTCTTTACGTTCCTCTTTTAATTTATATTTCTTTGCAGGATACATAATGCTTATTAATGTGAGTGTAGTCTGCTATATGCACACACAAGTACACACAGAGAGACTGCGTTTGCGCTGACTGGTGTTTGCAGCAACAGCTGAGGTTGTTGTTATCACTGTCCGACAGCATCGCTGCACATGGCTTTATAAAGTCTAGTGAACATATGTGATTATTAATATGAATGGCTGCGGAAATTCTTCAGCTGTCTGTCTGAGCGTCCCTGTGATCGATGTCAATAGCTGTCAACTTCTCCGTGCATTTGATTGGCCAACAGCAGAGTTTCAGTGACGTGTTGACAGGTTGGCAGTAAAGCCCCGCCCCTCTCTGTTCACGGTCAAACTCTCATGATTACTGAGCACTTTATGGTTTGACTCAACAGGAATGTGCAATTTAACTAGAGATGCACTGATTGCAGTTTTCTGGGCCAATTCTGATTATTTATTTTATTTTATTTTTTGTAAGTTTGAACTTTTGATCCAGATTTTCTTTTTTTGTAAGAACTGTAATTGAAATCATGCACAAACATTTTTATACACCGAACAAAATTATAAATGCAACACTTTTTTGTGTTTGCCCCCATTTTTCATGAGCTGAACTCAAAGGTCTACGACTTGTTCTGTGTGCACAAAAGGCCTATTTCTCTCATATTGTTCACAAATCTGTCTAAATCTGTGTTAGGGAGCACTTTTCCTTTGCCGAGACAATCCATCCACCTCACAGTTGTGGCATATCAAGATGCTGATTAGACAGCATGATTATTGTACAGGTGTGCCTTAGACTCAACCCTTTCTGATCCAAAATACATGTCATCTCTGCATCCATCTTGTTTTCAGTACAGCATTTTAGCATGTAGTTTATTCAGCTGGTCAGGTGAAATCAGATACATCTTTTATGTACAGCCATTGTTGGGGTCTGACACACACATGCAAAACTATTTTCCAATCAAACTGCAGAGCAGTTCACCGAATACAGGTGACACAGTAGTGAGAAGAGTTAGAATGAAGCCATGTTGAGATGTTTCCCTTTCTGTCTCAGGCTTGTCTTTTTATCAGCATGTCTTAATCGGTCAACACCATCCAATGAACCCAGATGATTTGTTTTATAATAAATGTCATAAAGCACTTTTTTTAACATCAGTCATGATAATAGAGACTTTCCCTAAACACAACAAAACACAGACACACACACTTTTTCATTCAAAAACATTTTTTTTCACAACAACAGATGGTGCAAACATAACATTTGTTCAGAAACACAAATCAGAATCAGGCATACATTGAACCAGCAGCAGATGGTGCTATCGTAACACACAACTCAGAGGAGAGACAGCGGATACATCAACAAACTGATTCATTATCCTGTGTGAAAAATCTGAACACGCCATGCCAAACATAATGCATGTTTTCCTTGAGCAAGTTTAGAAACAGTTACATTGATCATCATGGATAAAACACAAATTAAATCGGTTAAAGTGAAATGCTAATCAGGGGCACGCATCTCTGTGCACAGTTGAAACAGGAAATCGGGCTTATTCATGTGGGGCACTATCACACATTTCATAGCTGACGGTATTATTCAACATGCTGAGAGGCTGAGAAATAAATATAAATTATCATTACAACCTTGCTAAAACTCAAAACTAATGCTGGCCTAAGACTTTTGCACAGTATTGTATATTACACCATAAGGAGTTATCGCATTTATAATTGATAGGATGGACACATCAGTGACAATTAATAGAGGACACTTGCTTCCCTTGGCAGCTTTCCAGGTGACATGGTGTCAGACTGCAGTTTAAATATGAAGGAGTCAGAGGGAATGATGTGTGTTATGAAGGCCCCTGCAATCACAGACAGGTCGTACCACAGCAAGGCCTCAGAATGTAGCCGTCTTTTCCCCTGCACAGCCACCTATACAGTAACACTTTGCATAATGCTTTGCATTGAAACATTGTCCCTTTCTGTACACTGGTAAAATAGGAAAGAAAAAGTGGTAACTGGTACAGTAACCAGTTTACAACACTATGTAATAAAACAACAGTTTGTTGAATGTATTACTTAAAATTTGTCTTGAATAATTATTTGAATATTTCTCACATATACTGTTAAATAGGCATTTGTTTGCATATAGAAAATGTTCAGAATAACCCAAACTCTGTGAGCTTTGGCATGAAATGTGTGCACACAGGTAACATACCTAACAGCAGCACAGACATGTTCTGTCTTGTCTGAACTTTGTGTATTCTGAAATCAGCCAATTGATTAACTGATGTTCATGATCTCTTTAAAAAAAAGACTTGAACAAATTAATGCTTTTCATTTCATTCATAATATTATATGTAAGAAAACTGTGACCTCCCACCCCAAACAATCACTTTTATATAAAAGTGTTGGTCTGTATACTTTGCTTGTTCTGCTCACATATATTTTCTGTTTGTCCTTGTTTGTGTTAATGTCTCTCCAGAACACCAGTGAGGTGAGAGAATGAAGATTGCGGTGATTGGTCAGAGTGTGTTTGGCCAGGAGGTGTACAAGGAGCTGAGGAAGGATGGTCACATCATTGTAGGAGTCTTCACCATCCCTGACAAGGATGGCAAGGCAGACCCACTTGGTGAGAGCTTGACTGACTGGGATCTCCACACTAGCACTTTTCCATAAAATATTATTGGCTTCCCTCTGTCATTAAAGCCACATCTATTGTGAGTTTCCAGACAAAATAAACATTTCGAGGCAGAAGGCCGCCCACCAAGAGCCGGGGTCTGTCGGAGGTTTCTTCCGTTAAAGGGAGTTTTTCCTCCCCACTGTCGCCAAGTGCTTGCTCAAGGGGGATTTGTTGGGTTTTCCCTATGTAATAATATTGATAACAGTAAGGTCTAGACCTTACTTTGTAAAGTGTCCTGAGATGACTTTTGTTGTGATATGGCGCTATACAAATAAAATTTGATTTGATTTGATCCTTTTCCTCACAGCCACAGAAGCAGAGAAGGATGGCGTGGCCGTCTTTAAGTTCCCTCGCTGGCGTGTGAAGGGCCAGGCCATCCCGGAGGTGGTGGCTCAGTACAGGGCCACTGGTGCCGAGCTCAACGTCCTGCCCTTCTGCTCCCAGTTCATCCCTATGGAGGTCATCGACCACCCAAAACATGGCTCCATCATCTACCACCCCTCCCTGCTCCCTCGGCACAGAGGAGCCTCTGCTATCAACTGGTGAGTGTGATGTCATGTTCATCAGGTCAGAAGGGGGAGGGTGTATGGTGACAAGTCCAGTCTTTTACTTGCTCTCTCTGATCACATAGGACCCTGATTCATGGTGACAAAAAAGGTGGTTTCACAGTGTTCTGGGCTGATGATGGACTGGACACTGGACCGATCCTGCTACAGAGGGAGTGTGATATTGAACCCAATGACACTGTCAACTCAATTTACAAGAGATTCCTCTTCCCAGAGGGAGTCACGGGCACAGTAAGTGTGGTGAAGGCGCAAGGCATTTTGGGTGGAAAAAAAACACAAGCTAAGGTAGTGTGGAAAAGCACTCCAAGCTAATCACATCATAGATGTGAACTCTCACCAAAGGCCTTCACCTGTGAAACACAACGGGGACAGCTCCTTTTGATTTGGGACCAAGTTGCTGCCCCATGTGAAGGAATCTTGGAGTATCTCGGAGTCTTGTTCATGAATGAGGGTAAAATCGAGCGTGAGACTGACAGGCGGATAGGGGCAGCATTTGCAGTAATGCAGACAGTGTTCCAGACCATTGTGGTAAAGAAGGAGCTGAGCTGAAAGGCAAAGCTCTCAATTTACCAGGTAGTCTATGCTCCAACCCTCATCTATGGTCACGAGCTGTGGGTAGTGACCAAAAGAATAAGTTTGTGAATACAAGTGGATGAAATGAGTTCCCTTCGTAAGGTGGCCAGACTTACCCTTAGAGATAGGGTGCAGAGTTCAGACATCCCTCTGCTCCTTCACATCAAAAGGAGTCAGTTGAGGTGGTTTGGGTATTTTATCAGGATGCCTCCAGGGTGTCTCCCTTTGGAGGTCTTCTGAGCATGTCTAACTGGTAGGAGACCCTGAGGCATGCCCAAAACACGCTGGAGAGATTATATTTCTCTGTTGGCCTGGGAACTTCCCAGAATCCTGCCAGAGGAGCTGGAATATGTCATCGAGGAGAGGGATGTCTGGACTATCTTACTGAACCTGCTGCCACCATGACCTAACCCAGGATAAGCAAATGATAATGGATGGATGGATGCTTTTGTCTTGCCTCAGAGGTTGAAGTTGTGATGCATAGTGCATTATTACTGACTCCAGCAGACAGTCAGGACTGCAGAAAGAATCATCGATGCCAGCCTGCCCTCCATGGAGGACCTGTACACCTCACGGGTCAAAAGGAGGGCAGAGAAGATTTACAGAATGGACAGTTGTTATGTAAATTATGTGATTTGAAGTAAATGGACAAAGGAATTCAAAAAGTACCAGGATGAATAAAACATTTGCAGTCATTTACAGTCCAAAGTAGAAGGAGCAATTTTTCTCTTCAATAGCAACACTAACAGGTGAATACAGGAAAGAGTCCAGTTATAAATCCTCCTGCTTGTCTATTTTCAGCTTCCTGCAGTTCCAACACGACAAACGCTGTGATGGCAAAGTCCATATAAAGAGCATTACTGTTTTGTAATGTCACTGCACTGTTGTGCTTCCAGGTGGAAGCAGTGAGGCTGATAGCAGAAGGGAAGGCCCCAAGGATCACCCAGCCACAGGAGGGAGCCACTTATGAGTGCATCCAGAAGAAAGACAATGCTAAGGTAATACACACCAAGATCCAGGCAGATCACTTCCCACTGTATTATAATCCAGTTTATTTTTAAGAAGTATCTCAAGTTTGCATAGAGCCTGTGACATTCATCAGTCAGGGTTTCTGCAGGTCCTTAAAAAGTCTAAAATTCAATCATCAGAATTTTAGACCTTAAAAAGTTTTTATAGGTCTCAAATACAATTTTGATAGGTCATAAAAACGGATCATGCTCGGTTAAGTTGATTATTTTAACGCTGATTTAATGTTACTTCTACAATGTCACATTAACTTAAGTTGTGCTTTTATGTGTTTTTGGCAAAAGTTTCAGTGACAAAGTCATACTGCCTTGATACACTGGCTCAGTGTTGTAGTTCATTCTCATCAGTTAATATTTGTGACACTGTAATAAAACTACAAAACTAAACCAACTTGTATCCAGAACATTTGCAAACTTGCAGCGGGAATTGCTTGCACACACAGTAACCGTCTTGATTAATACTGTGTGCAGGACTTGAAAGTAAATAGGTAGGCTATTTAACAAAATCTAATAAAAACAGAATATAAATCTAAACATGTTCCAGAAAATAACTGCTACACTAATTAAAACTTAAAACAAAATTTGAGATCCAAGATTCCAAAATAAATCTGCATAAACATCATTAATTGTATAATCTGTGATTACTTGTCTGAACCACAATTCATTACTTGCTAAAAATGTAGGAAATTAAATCAGTGTGATTTATAATTGTCATTGTGTGAGCAGGTCATAGCTGTTATCATCAGCAGGTAAAGTCAGTCAGACTGCAGGTTGTGCACTGCTGTCAAACACTACAGGTGGTGGGTCAGTGGGAGTGGTACAAACAGGGTTTGTGATAACGTGGGCTGTTAGATGCTGCTTCAAGCCAAACCTTCTCTGGGGTAATTCACAACCCAGAAGTAGGTCTTAAATTACATTCAAAGTGGTCTAAAAAAACATATTAAAAAGCCTTAAATTGAACTTGAAACCCCGATGTACCTCAGTGCAGCTGTAAAGTCCTTTGTGTTGATGACTTCTGAGCAGATGTGAATTGATTTTAAGGGAACTACAAAGATAGAACTGATGAAGTACTATGCTGTCACCTGGTGATTAAAGGTTTAAGGATTAAGCCTTTAAGGTTGTCCATGCAAATTCTGTCATAGTATGCTGATAAAACGTAGAAGAAGGCATCTGGACGTAGTTTTAGGTAGAAGACGTTTTACCTCTCATCCAACAGGCTGAACTGATGACGCATCTTGGATGAGAGGTGAAATGTCTTCTACCTAAAACTATGTCCTGATGCCTTGTTCTGTGTGTTTTTTTAAGCTTTTAAGGTTACAAAACTTTTGTGACTGAGATGACAGAGGTTAACAACAGTTTCCCAGATTTTCTCAGATTTTTGCATGTTACATCAGAAAAGATAATGTTAACAGCTGTTTGTGTTTGTTGCCAGATTGACTGGAACCAGAGTGCTGAGGCTCTCCACAACTGGATCAGAGGAAACGACAAAGTGCCAGGTGCCTGGGCAGAGGTTGATGGACAGGTAACAGGACACTCTAACACTGAGAGTTTTCTTTTCCCTCTACTGGATATGCTGTTATAAATAAAATCATATTTTTTATTCAAATGCATGTTTAAGCATGAAAATTAGTTTTAAAACAATGAAGTAAGGTCTCAAAGAAAGAGCATTGTCTGGTGATGTCAGCATTTAACACAGAGCTCCTCCAGTAATACTTAAGACCGGCATTTTGTGGACTGAGTACTTGCTCGGGCTCCTATACTGTGGAATGGTCTGCCACGGGAGATTAGATCACTTCTCAAAACGCATTTGTATTCATGGGCCTTTGACAATTTTATTGATTGATGTATTTGTTTGGTTTTTTTTTGCATTTTTGTTGTTATTTTATTGTGTAGATGTGTTTTATCTGATTTTATGTATTTTTATTATTTTTTATGTTTTACTGGAAAGCACCTTGTAATGCAGGTTTAGGAAGGTGCTATATAAATAAATTTTGCTTGCTTGCTTGCTTGCACTGGATATACAGTATTTGATTTTAAAAAAAGGCTTTTCTTATTGGCATGAGAGATTTCAGTAATCCCCTGTTTACAAAATTTAAGGGATGGTGCATTCATATAGAATATGTTCAAATGTAATCATTTTTAGTGATTTATGGAGACTGTAGCTGTGAGTGTCTGTTCAACACAGCAGAGAAGGAGAGAGAGAGAGAGATGGTGCAATTTGGCTGCTGTCCAAGTTTTATTTCGACTAGGCAGTCACAAGAACAACTTGGTTGTGCTTTACCTTAATCATAACCTGAAACTGTAAAGAACAGACTGCTGTAGTACTTGTTAAACTGTAGCTAGTCTTGTAATAAATATGTTTTGATCTTGTGTCGTGTTCATTTTCTTTATCACCAGTCTCTGCATTGATGTTTTGATTGTGAGAGTTCTAGTGGCTTCATTCATTCACTTTATTAGTATCAGAGAAGACACCTTTATTTTTCACTCGGATGATGGACATCTGTGCATTAATTAATAAGCCATTGTGATGTCCTGTGTCTCTGTTCCTGTAGAAAGTGACTTTCTATGGCTCCACTCTAGTGGAGAACAACACCACAGCTACCGGTCAGCCATTGGAGATCCCTGGAGCCAGCCGACCCGGCATCGTCACCAAGGCGGGCCTGGTGCTATTTGGCAATGATGGCAAGGCGGTAAGTGTGGTTATTAAAGGATAAGGTGTGTCATTTTCTATATTAACAGTATTGTCATCACTCCCCATTTGTCATGAAAAAACATCTCACCCAGAACAGCGGTAGGTTTCCCTGATGTGATTTTAATCACTTTTGAACAACAGACATCAATCGCACAGGTGAACAAGTTAATTCAGGACTGACACACTGACAGACATTAACAGTGAGTAGAGGCAACTCAGTGTGGGTTTTAGTCTTTGTATGGAGATTGCTGAAAGTACTATTAATATAGAAAATGACCGGCCTTATCCTTTAAAGTTGGAGGGCGCTAGAATACTAGCAAAGAGAAAATCTAGATTACAATCTTGGTTGGGAGTGATATTTGGGGTGCTGTGTATTCAGTCTTAAGGATCCTACCTTGTATGTTTCAGAAGTAGGGTTCTCCTACTCATTCATTCATTCATATCATATCAGTGATTTAAACTTACAAACTTAAACTTTTTGAAACAGGGCCTCCAGTATTTGGATCAAGTAGCTTCTTTAAAAATATAATGAGTCAGATTGCTTACAGCTGTTATTTCAGTGTGACAGATACACATTTAATCAACACTTACTGCAGGTAGATACCTATTGAATCAGACTAGATATTGGTAGATATCCACAATTATTGCACTTGGACCAGTGCTGTAGTCCGAGTTCAGTCCGAGTCAGCAAAAAAATAATCTGAGTGAAGTTCGAGTTGAGTCTCTTTTACCAAGATCTACATTAAAAACATTTGACACAGCTCTCACCATTTTATATTCCAAACCTTCTAACAGTGTACTGTATTGCAGAGGTCACAATAGACTTTCTCATTGTCTATCATTTTGACTGGCAGTGTCATAAAAATGTATTATTACTCCAACTTAATTTTCATTTTTTTATATCTAAAGCATTTAATTTTCATTTTATTTTCTTAAATAATTAATATACAAAATAAGCTCATGTGCAGCCACTTTTCATGTCAACACCACATAAAGCAGATGACTTTTTTTTGGCAGTGACAACAAAGGCCACAAAAAATACTGCGACCAGTTTGTGTAAACAAGTTTGTGTGTAAACAAACAATATGAACATTGCAATTTTACAAAATTAGACAATTACCATTAAAAAATGTATTGACAAGAAGGTAGGCTAACTGAATTGAACTCAGCTGAGCAGCTGTAGCCTGGTGCAGAGGTGATTGTCACTAGGTTTCTCATGGCCCTTCTCAAAGCTGAATCCGCATTTTGCTGCCACACTGGACACTGGAATTGCCAGCTCCACTTCAGCCAAAGTTTTGAAGTTGGGAAATATTTCTCACCAGAAGTGATTAGATGTTCCTCTGAAAATGAGATTTCCCGATCATGACACACTCACTTCACCAGAAGGAATTCACTGCATGCGCTCCTTCTGTACCAGAGGCACAGCTGCACCTCTCTGTGATCCGTAGTGGTCACAGGCGTGCTCCGTTGCCTCCAGTCCATGGCCCTTAAACGGGCTGTCAGCTCCCACATAGCAAGGTGCATTGAGTAGGTCTCGTCCACTGCATCGGTTCCTCTTTTTTTCAAAAATTTTTTTTTAAATTTGTTTATTAATGTCATAGCAATCATTTAGGCTTTTTAGTAGCCTATAACCTAACTTTATGTTTGTGTAAATTGCCGGCTGTGTTCTAATCTGCCAAAATGATGGACAGCCTTCTTCTGCCATTAATAAAAGAAATTCCATCAATGTGAAAAATGTTTGATTAATGGAACCTGTGTATTGTATCACCATATTGCTTGGCAACATGGTCACATAAAAATCATTTATAGAAAGGCAGAGTGTATGTTTGATAGAAGTGGATACCACGTATACATCAGGGTGTGAATGAACGGGTTTTAATATCAGTATCTTATGCCAAATTATTATAGCCTATTACAAATATATATGTAGGCTGTATGGATATATTTATACCTAATCCCTTAAGGTTAAGGCTGTCAGCTCTTTAAAACAAATAACCCAATAGGCAGTAGCCTACACAGTTTGGATCCACATGTGCTCACACTTGAGCATGTTTTGTGAAAAGGATGAAATACTTAGTAGGCTGTTTTTCTCTCTCTCTCTTTCTCTAATGCACACTCTGGTGCACAGAATTTGCACCCGTGAGTGTTTGTGTGTTTTGTCCAATAATACACTGATAATGTGGACTGTTCAGTGACAGTTTAGTGTCCACTACAGACCCTGTCTACAAAAGACAAGTGACAGAACAAAACTTAGATCAACCAAATGTCAGATGTAAATAGCAGCAGCAGAAACAGACTTTACATTTAACATAGAACAAGTGATGCTGCGATGTTTTACATGTGAGCGATCAGCTGTAGGCCTACATGGTGCAAATGGAGCACAGGATGGCCAAAAACATGGGCATATGCTGACCAGCTGCGAGCTCTATGTACAGTCACCGTGTTCACTCCTGCTGGTTGACATGTAAGCCAACATGAAGCAGGAAGAGCTCAGTGAACAATCAGTATGTGTTGGAGACAGTTTAATACTTTTGAGTGGAGAACATTAATTTTGTTATAGCTTAACAAGGCATTTGATGACTGGTCATGACAAATATTGAGAGGGGACAAATTTCCATTTTTTTCATATTTTTTTTTCGGGGGGGGGGGGGCCCTGTGGAGATTATGCCCTAGTATTGGATGTGTAACTTTGGTCATGACAGGTTACTGAGGAGCTTCTTCCTCCTCTGACAGACACCCCAGATCAAATGAATGATGATGTGGTTTTTGGCCTTGATATGAAAATGTGTCTGTGCAGCTGATGAGTGAGTTATATTCATGAGATGTTGTTAAACACTTGTGATTGAAGCTTAATAACACAATACTGCAAACTTCAATACACATTAGCACACTGGTGCATATGTAAATCTGCAGAAGGTAACAATTCTCAACAAACACAGAGGCTTCTTATTAGATCAAATGTAACTGCCATCATATTTACATTTATGATTTATTAAATTGTATGATCTTTTAAGCACCATGTAACTTTGAAAAGAACCTATGAATCTTCCCAAATGCTTCATGAAAGCTGTTGTTACTCCTACAGTGTTGCACTACAAAATACAGGATGCGATAGCGATAATACAAAAGATGACAGTGATGCATTTTTGCCATTCATGTTTATACCTGAATGTGTTTTTTCAACCTTTATATTTTCATGTTTACATATTGTAGGTGACTTACAACTGGTTCATAATATGACTGAAATTTAGCTGAAGGAAAATAATGCAACCCCTATACAATATAAAAACATAACATGTAAAACATTTTTACAGTGCAACATACAGTAGGTATCACTACTTGACATATCATGTACTACAGTTGTGTGTGTATTAGGGCTGGGATCGTGTACACGCTGGCCATACCATAGCCTAACCCTAGGCAACATTCGACTCACCCAACCCCTTGCTTAGTATCCTGTTATAAGGAGAAACCTTTCTCTTTATAACAAGACCGTTTTCTCATTTTTATGAGATACATTCATGTTAAAACTTGATTTTTCTTGTTATGACATACTGTATTTTCTTCTTATAACAACATAGGCTACTCTTTTTTTTCTCATAATAATGTGAACCTTGCACATCTTGGACTGAGTGAAGCACACAGGCGCTCACTTTGAACAATATACTCATTCAGTTTAGCTCTTTCTCTCATCAACGCCTCCCATTTCAACTTTAAATACAATGACCAGCGTTGCTCTTAGGAGGTGCACCCCAGCCGGTCCTTGAGAATCACTGATCTGACACTTAAATCCATGTACAATAATTGGTCCACAAAATAACACATGAATGCAGCTTATGAGCAAATACCTTACACATGTCCCAATTATGTTTCAGGCATTACTGACAATGGGTGAAGTCAGTGTGTGGCTGCTGTTCCTCACACCAACCTGCATAGGCCTCATGTTAGGGAGCAGAAATGATATGATCCACTTTAGGGGTGTGTTATATCATATTGGATAGCTCCTTGGGCCAAACATTTGAATCTCTATACTATATGTTGACCATGCAATGAATACCAGACACAGTGGCCTAATACTTGAGCAAGATAATAAAAAAAATTGTACACATGGTGGTTACAGGGTTAAGGCTACAGCTGCCACTGCTCATATAGCTATATCATTTTCCACCCTTAACTAAAGTGTTCATAGTTCAGCTCTGTGGATCACACAGACCAACCAGCCTTCGCCCCACTAGAGAGTAAAGGAGGATACTTCCTGTCAAACTCAGGTGTGAATACCAGATTTATGGGGAAATCACGTGACTTCAATCGAAACCCATGTGGCACCCATTGTATATATGGGGAGACCGAGCTACAGTAAAAATGTATGGCAAAGGGCGTAGCTGGAGTGCGGCAGAATTGTTTAACACACTGCAGTCCTCACCTGAAGCCAGGGAGCAGGATCTGCATTGGGCCGTGGATTTGCAGGAGCCTTTGTTAGTGGACAACGAGGAAGAGTTTCCCTCACCAGCATATGGCCCACCTACCACTGTGGTGACTTTGGCTTGCTACTCGCCATCCCCAGACACCCCGACCACTACACCGACCAGTCCTACACTGAGAGAGGAAGTGGTGGATGATTGGAGTAAGGCCAACATCTACATCCCACCTGACTCTGCCCTCGGCTCTGCAGCTGCTGCAGTAGAGTGCACGGAGGAAGCTGAGGGTTTATTGAAACCAGATATGCTCCAAAGTATTAAACTGACTTTGGTGGAGATATTTAAGATACTGATCACCGCTCATGTACAATCAATGTACAGAGTAAGTGCTAAGGAGGAGCCGTCTAAACACAGCTTTTCAAATCCTCTACCTAAATGGTATTTTAACGTCCATTTTCACATGCTTGTAGAAAAACTGTGGGTCCTGGAGTTCATTCCAACTGTTCTGGAAATTCTGAAACTGGAAGGCGTTGATCCACACCCTAACTGTGTCCCTTCTTTATGAACTAATGGAGGTTGG